ATTTTTTAACAAAATATTTTTGTTTTATAGAAACTGAAATTTATAAAAAAAAAACTGAATTTTTTTTTTCAAAAACGAAAATAGTTTTTTCAGTTTTTAAAAAACGAAAATATTTTTGTTAAAAACAATTTTTTTTTCTGTTTTTACAAAAAAAATGCTTTAATTTTTTTTGTAAAAACTGAAGAAAAAAAGAAGAAGACTTTACTAAATTGGTGGACTACTGGTGCATTAGTTTAAAAAAATAAAAATATTTGCAAAATATTTTTTTAAGTAATTATTTTTAGTTCAGCATTGACCTAACGGTCAAAAGGCATATGTGAACCAAAAAGGTGGATGGAGGGGTATTTTTAGTCCAATAGGTGGATGAAGGGTATTTTTAAACCTTTTCAAATAGTTTAGAGGCATTTTGAACCCTTTTCCGTTTTTTTTTATTTTTGGTATGTATGCTGTCTCTAAGCTCGTAAGGGGAAGTAAACCGAGCCACATGCTATCACTCTATCATCGCCAAACTCGTTTCGCTAGATCTAGGCTCTGATACCAGTTGTTGGGCTAAATCATCCCATAGATAACATGGTGTGATATTGGCGCTTTGGATCAATCCCGCACGATTTTCCCCAAAAAGCCTTACATCATTAAGAGATACCTACATCTTATATCCATATGTAGGCTTCTAATCTTTTTAGCTACCAATGTGGGACTTTGTTAGCACATTCACCAAGAATATTTATAGGTATTTAGTGATTTTTTAAATATAAAAACACTTTGTGGACAAAAATTATTGAGTTTCTGTAGACCCATAATTTGTGCTTTAGATCCCCACTGCCTTGTATTTTGTAAATTGCAGGGGAAAAGAACCACTATTGCCATTATAAGTAAGATGATATTTGACCATGTACTAACTACTAGCCATATACAATGCCGTCACGATGAAGGTACTAACTACTTTCTTAATCTTATGAGTGGGTTTTGTCATTTATAACAATACACAATATTCTTTCATAAATAAAAGAACAAACGTAGTGAGAAAAAGAAAAAAGAAATCCAAGAGCAAAGATAAGTAGTTTAAATTCACTGTTCATTACATAGAGGGGTGTGGACCCATGATTTTGAACAAGGAATCTTAGCAAAAGATTAAGATACAACCTTAGAAGTAGTCGACTGTACTAATTAACTGTATCGAGTTAAGAATGTATTGATTTCCAAAAGAACGACTATATAGTAAAATTATTTTTTCAGATAATAGAGAGACTAAAAGCGCAAATGAAAGATCATATAGGGACCAAAACGGCAATTTTCTCAAAATTTTGTTATTTTTTGTGTGTAACATTATACTTGATGCAATATATATGGAAGACAATTCGTGTCAATTCACAATTAATAGTCTTACTATATTATAATGTCCAATCACTATACATAGAACACGTTCCAAATTGTATTTGCTAACTTCAGTTTAACCAACGAAAACTTTATCCCAACTTTTTCGATGTAACCAAACCTCCACCTCAACTATCTGGTAGGGTTGAGTGATTGATCAACAGAGGTTAATCTAAGATTTTGCTATAGTCTGCAAGCTTAGAAGAAATACGATTATATTATACGTATACATTTAAAAAAAATCTTATGTGTATACTAGATGATGGATGGCCCGTGCTAGCGCGGGCCCAATATGCAAGTGTGTGTTTTCATCTCTTACTATTAGCAAGAAATTACGTTTGATGGGCGTTTTTTAAACCATCGTTTATATTTTGATCCCGTTTAACCAAATATTTTGTGAAAATAGGCTCGCGCCAGAATTTTACGCATGGTTCTAATGACTTTCAGAATTTGAAGCACAAAAAATTCTGACAATCACCAATTTTTTCAACTACAATACTAAAAAATTCTGATGCTCTGTCAAATTTTGACAAAAATTATGTCAAGTATTTCTAAATATCCTAAATTAATATTTTGAATTTGACTTCTCATTAAAAGAAAAATATTTTACTACACGGAAATTTTTTAAGTCGTTCTGAATTTTATATTTCTTCCTGAGTTATCAACTCTCCAATATATATATATATATATATATATATATATATATATATATATATATAAAATACATAATTGTTGAATCAAAAGTCAAATATTTAACAGGTCAAGATCAAAAAAAGAACCATAGGGAGTACAAAGAATACCGAAAGAATTATTTTTATAAGAATAAGAGAATTTAGTCTTACACTATTCACATTTTATACGGTGTAAATTCAGACTTTAAAGCGTAAAGATCAATCTGCATAGATAGTTGGATAACCTTATAAAAAAAAATACAAAGTTATCAAGAGTATCTACCAACCGTCTATGCTCCAATTAAAAGTTTAAAATTATAAGATTGTAAAGCTGTGATACATTTGCTATTGTCCTTGAAATATACTCCAATTTGCAAAAAGTTTGGTCTAAAAGCACTACAAATTTCGCATAATATCCAAGCATCTACACTTCATTAATATTAATCAAGTAACTAACCATGCAAGTTCTCACCTCATTTGTCGGGTTGGTCATGCAGTTTTGTAGGATAAAATTTTAGTTCTTCATAATTTCTTTACTTGCAATCATTTACCATATTAGATAATCTAACTAAAAGTTATTCTTTAGAGCATATTTAGGAGTTTGTGTTGTATTTTAAATTAATGGGAATAACCCATTAAAAGTAAATTTGGTTTTAAATTGAACACTAACGCATATATTTTAATCTTTTTTATTTCCTTTTTTAATCTTTATAACTCCATCAGTTTTTCCTAAAAAATGCTACGTAAATTTGTATAAGTTTTGTTACATAATTTGAATTTAATTTGGCTTTAAATAAACTAACTTGTAAGACTGTAATATTGAGATTTAATCTGATGCACTATGTTATCCTTACAAATATGCATATATATATATAGTTGGCAAAAGGAGTGCAGTTTCAATATACGTAAAAAAATGTTTTGGCAAAGAATTGGCTCACAAAAGAAATATGTCATGAAGTAATGTTCTCTTATTTCAATTTTTTGGCTATTAATAAATATAACCATCTTACAAAAATGTGGCAGTCACATATTCTAACGCAAAGGAAGATTACCACAAAAAAAAAAAAAAAAAAAAAAAAAAAAAAAAAAAAAAAAAAAAAAAAAAAAAAAACGCAAAGGAAGAACATTGATGTGCTGGTGTGTCAAAATAGATCAATGGGGCCCACAAGTTGCAAAAAGCGTTTTCACAAAGTAAGGTGATGCGCCGCATAGGGAACTTCAAAGTATTCCTATTGGAGGAATGGAGGGTACCATAATTACAGCACGAAAGTACCTAGTAAGCACAGCATGTTAAAGAAAAAATATTCCAAATTTACCCCTGTTCAGCAAGCAAGCATGTCGTCCAGCTGCCTGCTAACTGTCTCTTATTATATAGTAGAAAAAGAAAATATATCAAAACCAAAAGCAATAAACTCAGTTAAATGCACAAACCCTTCCCCGTCTGCCTTTGTATATCAAGGTTAAGCCATATCATATATGCTACCACTAAATGGCAACTACATACATTATAGAGTCTCTCTTAGCTAGAATAAGTTGATAAAGTTTATTTCAGAGATTATTGTTAACTATTTTTCTATTGATCAGTCAAAGGTTGAAAGAGCTAGTCGATCATTATAATTATTTAGACTGAAAGAAACAAATAAAAAATAACAGAGACCACGTAGAATAAATAGGTTAGGAGTAGAGGAGAAAGGATATACTCCTAGTTAACTTCTTTTCCTCTTTTCTTTTATATTCTTGTATAAAGAAAAAGAAATGGACATTATTAAATACTAGTACTCTTTAAAGGAATATATATTTTGTTAAAACTCTTGAGTTCTATTCTCCAAATTCCAGTGACTTTTAGATCAAGCTCAACATTTTTTTATTGATGACTCTGTTCCTCTCTTTTCTTCTTCTCCCTTCTTTCTCTCCCTAAAAATTAATTTATGAAAAAGAAATGAGACTCAGCCTCTCTTCTCTTCTTACCCTTTTCTCCTTTCTTAAAAACCATGAAGATCCACAAATACGGTTCTCATGAAATAACACTTACCGGAATTAAAATGCAGTTTCTTGCTTGTATATTACGGGTCCAAATTTCTGGTATATTATTAAATTATCCTTATATTTTCCTTAAATGAGTAATTAATGATAATATGCCTTCTTGGTGTAAAAAGAATAAAATGATATGGAGAAAAAAGTTATTTCGTCTTGATTTTCTAAAATAACAAATATTTGAAAATCAGCTGAAGTGACATATAAAAAGGACTGGAGGGAGTATTTTCATTTGTGTTATTTTGATCATGATTATTATTCCTTAATAAAATGGACTAAGCAATTTAAGTTTTATGCTATAGTTAGATATAAGAAATGTAGGCAAAAAGTATTACAAGTTGTAAATTTCATTCATATAAAAGTCACAAAAGAGCGCCTTTAAATATTAATTAAAATTACTCACTTAGATTAAATCTTGTGAAGCAAAAGAGTCTATGTTGAGATAGAAGGAATAAAGACGATTTCTTCCTTGTAGGCATCATGCACCCATGCACGCGGAAACTAATTAGACACTCTATGAACAGTACTCTGTTCTGTTTGTTTTATTCTTACTAAGATGGCTCAAATTTACTGCTTCGTTTGCTCAATTTTATTTGGCACTATTTTTTATTAATTCGTTTAAAAAAGAATTACATATTTCAATGTTTTCTTTAAAAAAAAAGTTTACAGCCACACATATTATATATGCCATGTTTAAGACCATAAATTTAAAAAAAAAGTGTATATCCACACAAATGTTATGGAATATTTGTTAGGACCACAAATTCAAAAGTTCTTTATGTTTTATTACATTTTGTGCCAAGTTAAATTACGACAACAAAGTGAAACGGAGGGAGTAACTCCAAGCATATCAATTATCGTGCACTAATCTACTTATTCTCCCAAACCAGTGAAAATACCAGCAAGAGAAGATACACAAAATAAAGGAGAAGTAGAAGCCACTTGTGAATTAGAAATTCATCAAATCAATAGAGAAAGCACTAGTGAAGTACAAAGGAGATGGAAGAACAATCCCTTCGTACGAGTTATCAAGTGCTCGTTCCTAAGTCCTAACAACAAAGAACTAAAATACAACATGAACTTCAACAAACTAAAATGGAAAAATAAATTCCTCTAATGCTACAACAACAAAGGGAAATACTTAATCAAACATACAAGCAATGAGACTTTAGTCACCACAGAAAATAAAGAAGTCATCACAAATTTTTTTTTGTGCCAACCTAATGGTCATTAAGAATAGTCCTGACATAAAACTTATTCGCGGCGACTCTTAAGAATAGTCCTGTCACTAAAACTTATTCGTGGCGACTCAAAGAGAAGCATTATAGCTTAGGCACAAGTGAAGTCAGATGGCAGACTTTTCCCACAAGTATTGATAAGCAAGCTTAGTGCAATGGGAATATCAATGTTGATTCCAAGAATGTTGGCTTTCAGTGCAGTGCAAAGGCAAACTGCAGCTTCAAGATCCAAAAGTCCACCTAGTACGGAACAACAAGGCATGTCCGGTGGGGTTCCGATGACGGCTCCGACGGGTCCGTTCAGCACCTTGGCACAAACACCTAGTTTTAGGGCATCTCTAGGGCAGTGTCCCTTTGATGGGCTAGGGTTAGGATTTGGGTTTGGGTTCGGATTTGGTTTTGGAGTTGGTGGATTATTGCAGCCACTCCAGCAGCCACTTACAAGGGTAAAGAAAAGAATGTTAAAGAATAAAAAGAGAGTAACTAAGTATCTCTTTGAATCCATAACGGAGCAGAGAATTTATGTTTTGTATTAGTACTATTTTTTAGGTTTAGTGTAGAGAAAATGAAGTGCGTATTTATAGGCAAATTCGTGGAGGCATATGAACCCTAGAATTTGGCATGCATGCAGACATGTGAACTAATGCTAGCCTGGAATAAAGGTGGCAAATAATTTAAAGCAGAGAGATTCTGGCTCAAATTACTTCGCGCAGAACTTTTGTCTAGACATTTTCTTGAAAGTTTATAGTGTTAGTGGGTTGTTATTTTATCAATTTTGGGGATCACAAGACCAACCAATAGGTACAGAAAACACACCCGTGACTACCCAATTGGCCTTGTAGTTCGTGTCATTCTTTCTAAATTGCAGATTTCATCCACTTGAACGAACGATGCAGTGCTCCAACAAATAGGAGCTAGGGGGTGTTTAAACCGAATCGGAAAACCGCATCAATCCGAAAAATCAAACCAAATCGATTAAAAAACTTGATTAGGTTTTGTTTGACTTGGTTTTGTATTAAGTAAAAAAATTCGAACCAAACCGACATATAAATATTTAATTTTTATATATATTTTTAAAACTTTATATTGAATTTTCTTTAAAAAATATAGAAATATTTGGGATTCTATCATGTGTTAACCTTGAAAGCATACATTAACGAAAAATTATTGTTAGACGACTAAGAAGATAACTATCATGTGTTACTAAAAGAATTCTCTCATTAGAATATTTTAATAGATCATATGTTGATCAATTTTTTCAATATTTACTAAATATATATATTCACTTATCAAAACTATATCTATATCGTTAATAAAGTAAAATTGGAATAATATTCATTAATAAAAACAACCCCGAAAACCCGAAAAATCCAACAAAACCAAACCAATCCAAATCGATATAGTTGGTTTGGTTTGGTTTTGATAAAAACCAAATCAACTCGGTCCATGTACACCCCTAATAGGAGTATAGTTTTCAAATTATTTTTTGTTAGAAACTAATAAACAAAAAATGGCTTTGAGGCGTGAAAATCGACTGTCCTTAAAGAGTTATCGCCTGTATACGAATTTAGGAAAATACAAACGATTCTCTTCAGGATACAATAAAGCCTGAAATAATACTTGTAATTTTTCTATCCCACTTCGTTGGAAATTCTTGTGTATTTATAGGCAACCAACAGACCCTTTCAGAAAAGATGTCTTGTTTCACAAACAGACATATTCGGTTGGACCCTTTCATAACAGACATAACTATTTATTCGAATTTTGAATTTAAAATTTAAATAAATTTAATTTTTCTGTCACAAAAATAAAATAATTAATTTTAAAACAATTAAAAGTATGTGTCCTAAATCAAAGACATAAAAAGGACAAGTGCTTAAAAGGCTTCAAAATTGCCTTCTTTCTTCCGATGTGGTATCAACCCACTTCCCAATTTGTGAATAACAAACTATCTTACATTTTTTTCCAAAACAAGAGTACTCTTTTTCGTGTTAGGTCCACAGTGGGAGTAGAAGTAGAGGAAGATTCAAGATTTGATATTTATAGATTTCGACAGCTATCTCAAGTTAACAATAATAACTGTTACAATCATATAATAAAAAATATTTAGTAAAAATTTTAATATATATACGGAGTCTGTACAAAAGCTAGTGGATTTTCAAGAACTCGTATAACAGCAGGCTCCATCCATTAAGACAATTCCACAAAAAATTGTCCTGCTTCCACAGGAAACCATGTTCCTATTTGGACCATGCTCATCTTTCTCTTAAATTTAAAAGTTATAATAATAAGTTAAGAGCTAGTGTATAGCTATGCTTCGTTAAAAGCTTTATGCTGCTAAATGTTAACCACTTTCCAGTAATTAAAGACAATGTTTGTTCAGTCCGTGAATGATTTAACTAATAATGTATTTTAACTTAATGCATGTGAAAATCTTATCTTGGTGGAAACCAAATTTCAGAATACAACCGCACTCAACCCTTGAAATTTCAGTAAAAGAACTTCTTAAGTTAATGACCATATATTGTGCACAACACCCCCCCCCCCCCCCCCTTTTTTTTTTGTTGGTTGTATGTGTGGTGGTGGTGGGGGGGGGGGGGGGTACATAGTTGGATTACATAAAATCCATGTATAAGTAGTTGTTTATTATAATCACTGCCAACTTAAAAAGTTCCTTATACTAATGGTTTTTGGTGTCAATGATAAGTGTACCAGCTCGTCGGAACTCAGTATACAATCTCAATTTTGAGTTGGAAACAGTGGATTGTTTTATGGGAAAATGAAACTGTATAGCCAGTATAAAAATAATAGCCAAAAAAATGTATAAAATTTGTATATTTTTGTATAAATAAACATTATGTATGTTATATACAAAAATTATACAAATTTTATACACTTATTCGGCTGTCGGATGTAAATAATTTCTGGCGCGGGCTAAAAGCGATAATACCTCTTGTTTTATGGTTAATTTAATAAACTTCTTCTGCAGCCCGGTTTTGAATTTTGTTAATAACGTATGGAGCCCAATAAAGAATTAACCTAAATAGTCACCCGTTTAACCGTTTAAATTAAAAATAGTCAAAGAATATATAATCCATGTATAATATGTATTTATATAATCATGTATAATCGGTCTATAATTTATATAAATTAAAAGGTATATAATATATGTATACCAATTAAGAAAAATAAAACAGAAAATTCAACCGACTATATGTATAACGATACATTTTATAACGGAGTGCAGGTCCAAATCACAAGCTAACAGATAACCCCCAATGTAGTGGGGACTTCGCTTGGGTCCAGTTTTGACCAGGCTACCTTTTTGCTCCAAAATGACCCATTCTCAACCCGTAGATATTAGGCCCAATAAAGTCTCCACACCTAACACTGCTTTTGGGGAAAACTTTAGTAAACACTTTTGTGGCGTTCAGTTTTGCGCCACCCATTGAATTTGTATTTACCTTTTAAAAAAAGTTTAACTGATACCCTATTTTTGGATAACTTCATATACATATACTTTTCTCTTCTTCTTTGTGCTTATAGTTTATTCTTCTTCTTAGTTGCAAAAAAGATTCGTTAAATTTGTTACTGTTTTGACAATTTGATGACTGAAATTTGTTCTAATGATATTTGATATTTGAAATGTGCAATTTTTTTTTAGAGAAAACTACCCTCTATAGCCTCTCAAAATTTTAATAGCCCATGTTTTTACCCACTTACAGGAAAGGGATTTTTTCCTAACTATACCACATATGAAACCTTATTACCCTAAATGAGCATAGTTTGTTAATTACCCGCCCAATCCACACTTTTACTACAATTTATATACCATTCGACTATTAGGCATTAAAAGGGCAAAATATTCCCTAAAAAACGCGCTAAAATTAAGGAGAGAATCTTGGTGTTAATTGATTCTACATTAAATTCAATTTTTAAAAAAGGAAAGGAGATTTCTCATCTGCGTATTTTTCTCCAGATCAGATTTGATTGGTCGGCAAAGCCATTGAAATTTTTTTCGTAATTAAAAAAAAAGACTAAAAGCTTCAACAAACTGAAATCAAATATGTTCTTCATCTTTTTTTTTTCTCAATACACAAATCAAAAAAATAATAAAACATAGAACAATACCTCAGCAACAACACTCAATCGTGTCTAAAATACCAATCATGCTACAATTGAATGGGAAAAATCTGATTATAAAAAATGGGTCTCATCTCTGTATTTTTTGACAAGAAGAAGGAATGGAGAAGAGGAAGTCTGATTTTATGTTAATATCCAAAATTCCTACATTTATCTACAAATAAACTACAAATTAGTTTTAGTATTATATAAATCTGTATTGTTTTTAAGGGTATCTACAAAATTACTACATTTATACTACAATTAAACTACGATCTATGTTGATAAAAAATGTTGACTACAAAATTTTCTCTTGACCTACAAAATTTCTTCAAAAAAACTACAAATAAACTACAAATCAGTTTAAGTATTGTATAAAGCTGTATTGTTTTTAAGGGTATCTACAAAATTACTACATTTATACTACAATTAAACTACGATCTATGTTGAAAAAAAATGTTGACTACAAAAGGTTTCCTATGTGGCATAGGAATGTAAAAATCCCAAAAAAAAAAATAGGGTTTCAAGATCCATAAAACAGCTACTAATAACTAAGACGTGCAGAAACAAAAACAAGAAAAGATGAAGAAACAGAAAGAAGAGAAGAAGGATTTCTGTGCACAAGTTACTGCTAAGCTTCTGTTTATTCACCATGACAACGACACAACAATTAAAATATGGATATTTTCTACCAAAATCATCTCTTCTTTGCTATAAACTTCTGAACCCTCGTTGTATCAACTTCTACCAGACCATTAGCGTAGTTGGAGATAGTTAGTATATCCCACCAATTGCGATTGAGAATATCTTAGGAATTATGGGGATAGAGAAACATGGAATATATGGATACCTTTAATTAAGGAGTAAAAATTGCTCATTAATTAGACCCTTAATTAAGTATGGTATATGATTGATAATTTGGTATACGGGTTTGTAATTAAATAAAACCTTAAACATTGAGGGTAATAAGGATTCATATGTGGTATAGGAATGTAAAAATTCCTACAGGAAATGGCCTTTCGGCCCAATTTATTTGCAACTTGTAGCCACTATCTATTTCCAATGCATTATCTTCCCAAGACAACATTTAATCAAAGCTTTTTTATCTTTCTTTCACTCTATCCAATGCATTCCTTTTTATCTTTCTTTCATTCTATCTAATGCACAGATTTTTTTTTTCATTACTATTTTCATTCCTATCCTATTTCTTTCTCTGTGTCTTCTTCGTCTTCCTTTTATCTTTTTTTGGTTTTTTTTTTTCACTTTCCTTCCCTTCTCTATCTCCCATTTCAGATCTATATTTTTTCTCTTTATTTTTTTTTAATTCTCACTGGAAAAATTTGTTTGAGTACCTGGAAAAATCACAAAATTTTTCAATTCAATTATTAAAAAGATTTACTCAATTACGATGCATGATACAAGAGTGGCAGCAAAAATCGTGGGGTTTTCTTCTTCTTCTTCTTCTTCTTCGGTCATAATAGTGTTTTGCGGGTGAAGAACTTTTACAGTGAGTATCGATGGTGGGTCTGGATTTAATGGGGTAGTTGGATGATACTTATATATATATAGTTATACAATGTATTAAATATTTTATATACACATTGTATAAATTTTGTATATAAGTGTATCTTGTATTTTTCAGTTTATATTACAAAAATTATATATAAATTATTATAAAATGTATAAAAATTGTATATATACTATTACAATTTTGTATGTAAATGTATCTTGTATTTTTCAGTGTAATTTGTGTATTTTTTATATATTGATAGTCTGTTTTGTATATTTTTTGTATATTGACAGTCTGCCTTGTATATTTTTTGTAGTGACAGTCTATTTTGTATATTTTTGCATAGTAACAGTCTATTTAGTATATATTTTGTATAGTGACAGTAAATTTTGTATATAAGTGTATCTTGTATTTTTCAGTGTATTTTGTATATTTTTTGTATAGAGACGGTCCGTTTTGTATATTTTTTGTATATCAACAGTCTAACTTGTATAGTGACAGTCTATTTTGTATATTTTTTGTATAGTAACAGTCTATTTAGTATATATTTTGTTAGTGACAGTCTATTTTGTATAGTGACAGTCTATTGTATATAAATTGTACAGTGATAGTCTATTTAGTATATTTTTATATAGTGACAGTCTATTTTGTATAGTGACATTCTATTTAGTATATTTTTTGTATAATGACAGTTTATTTTCGTATATGTTTTGTATAGTGACAGTCTATTGTATATAAATTGTATAGTGACAGTCTATTTTGTATATATTTTGTAATATACCAATGTTCAAATCTATTATCAGCGAAAGAAATACATAAACATCCATATAAATATATACTAATGGTGGGCCTGGAATTATGATTCCCATCAAAATCAACTAATGACATACATGTGGAAAAGGAAAATTGTTTGGTGAAAACCAAAGGATTTTCCTAGCAAAGAAAGTTAGCCCAGAAAAAGAATGAGGCAATAACAGAGAGCTTGGGATTTTTATTCAAAGGTGGTTGCCTCTCTCTCTTTAGCCAATGATTTTCCTTTTCCACTTTTAAAACAAAATCAACCGCCCTTGAATTCCTGGAAATACGTATTTCTTCCCGTCTGGGGCTTTGCGGATGTCAACACCCTTCTTAGAAGGTGGTTAAATTCTCTACCGTGCTCTTTAGTTGTCTATGATAATACTTTACAGTTTTAAGCCAAAAAAATAAAAATAAGTGAGCTTAAGACATACATTTTTATGCAGCCACCTAAACATTCATTTACAGTTGGTATATCATTTCTTTGTAAATTTGCAAGGTCATTTAGTCAAATTACCTCAAAAATAAGTGTTTTAGTACCGTATTAAAATTTTAAAATATATTATTAATTTTTTTATAATGTAAAAGTAACAAATTTACCTAAGAATCACATTGAAATGCATTAAATAACTTTTTGCAGTAAAAAAATAACTAAACATTTTTTTGTCATAGAAAAATACTTTTGTGACTTTGAAGCATTAAGACAAAGTTGAGCAAAGATGTTTTAGACATTATCTTATTTAATTTCGTTATAGAAAATTACAAGAAGGTTTATTCATTCTTTGTCGGACAAATTTATATAATTGAACCGCCTTCCGAAGGTAGGTCTAATTCCGAGAAATGGCGGAGGAGGAGGAAGAGAGAGGAAAGGGAGCTGGAGCTTCAATTGGAAGATCAGAAAGCCAAAAAGCAGTACTTTTGGGCTAGCCACTAGAATTACTTTTGGGCTATTATTGTGTATTGCAATTTTGGGCTACTAGATGTTATAGGTTTGGCCCGAGTGGCTATGAATGATATTTGCTCATTTTTTTATATGCCCTAATAAGAAAATAATGCCACATAAAATGGACCAAATAGAGTAATATACTTGTCATATTTCACAATACACATGCTTTCTCTTCTTTTATGATTCCTGTGACGGAAATTATACAAACCTATATATATGTTTTATTGGCATAGTATTACCATTAAGAAGACTTACAAGTCCCAATGCAAAATAAATCGTCAATTAAAAGATAATCGCCAAATATAATCCAACCAGAATCAAGCTCCCATGTTCTAAATTATACTTGGTACAAGAGATGGTTCCAATAGAAATATTTTTTAAATAAATAAACAAGAGTAGTTTAGTCAGTATAGACACAAGAAAACACTATTAACTACAATGATTTGACGTGGGGATCTTTGGCCACATTCATGAGAAGAATAATTATAATCTTATTAAAATTCTGGTGATTCCACTTGCTCTTTCTTGTGTAGCCCGTGACTAGATTATTAAACTATAGTATGCCAACATCAAATTAAAAGTATCATTTGAACTTAGATGGCTAGGGCTTCACCCTTCCTTGTCAAGGTTTGCTCAGATTGCCTTTGGTTTTCTTTTGAGTAACGCTCTGGCATTCTTGTTTTACGGGGATTTTCTTTCATACTTTGACGTTCAAACATGATCTCCTATATGAAAATCATGACATATAGGCTCTAGCAAGCTCAAATTGGTTTACCAACCTTTAGAAATAGACCCAAAAAAGGCTATTTCATTGTTGATTATGCATATAAACTTTACTCCCTCTGCCCCAATCTATGTAAAGGTATTTGACTAGATACGAAAATTTAAGAAATAAATGAAAACTTATGAAATTTATGGTCTCAAAAACAATCCATAAAAAATTGTTGTTAGAGTACAATTATTACTAAATAGAGAAATGTATCATTCTTTTGGGATTGACAAAGAAGGAAAGAGGGTCGGTATTATACGAAGTGTTGCACCTTTTTGCTCCTTTTGAAAGCTCATTTGATACATCCATGTAAAGGGGAGTTATCCTACTTCTGGCCAATATGTAGTCTTAGCTGCACACTCTTATATGACATTTGCTACTTTGTAGCTCGAAAAAAGTCGTAAGGCCATAACCACTATGTTTTGCTCTACGATATTTTTACCCAAGAAACACTAGAGTGATTTTTCATTAAAAAGAATAAAGGGTCAAGCTAGTGTGCGATAAACTACAATAACATAATTATGTTTTACACTATCAGCATACATAATATATCACCAATAAAGGTACGACATAAGACAATTACTTGAATTTTAATATTGAAACTCAACGTGGAACATGGAAACCAGAATTAATTCCTTCTTCACATACCTCCAAGATCTACCAAAATATGCTTCTAGCCAGCTAAAATTCCTGGCTTACACACATGGGTTTAAGAATGTTTTCTCATCATTCTTTTGTCTCCCTCCTTATACATGCAGCTTATAAAAGCCAGCCATTGATCTTTTAATTCTTCATCATCACAGTTCAAAACATTTCTCTGTTATCTCTTTAGCTAACTATTCTTGCACTAGCTTTGAGATCAAGATGGCTAAATCACTTGCCCTCTTTCTTATATTCAATATCCTTTTCTTCACAGTAGTGAGTGCATGCAGCACTTGCCCAGGCCCTAAACCTAAACCTAAACCAAAGCCAAAGCCATGCCCCCCTCCTACTTCTTCTCATTCTCAAGGTGGCAAATGCCCAACTGATGCCTTAAAACTAGGCGTTTGTGCTAATGTGCTTAACGGTTTGCTGAATGTTACCCTGGGAACTCCTCCAGTAAAACCATGCTGCAGTCTTATTGGAAATCTTGTGGATTTGGAGGCTGCTGTCTGCCTTTGCACTGCCCTTAAGGCTAACATTTTGGGCATCAACCTTAATCTCCCTATTTCCCTTAACTTACTGCTCAATGTTTGCAGTAAGAAGGCTCCAAAGGGATTCACTTGTCCCTAAATGGTTCTCTCACTTTTCGTTTTTCTTCTGAAGTTGGTTTTTGATTTTCATTTGATTAGCAGTTTGTGATGTTCGATTTAGCTCCTGCATTAAACTTCTCGTTAGGTGCAAGGTTGTGGTTTATTTTGGATTGCTCATTGTTGGAAAGCGCTTTTGTAAGGCCAATTGTTTGTGTGCCCTTTGGAAATAAATATATTTCTTGGTATGATTTTTGTGCAGTATATATTCATATGCCTCTCTACTTATTTTTGTTTGTTTGGGCACCGTTATTCCTTCTTTAGTCTCAGAGGACATATATCGAGCACCTTGTGGCTTTCTTAAAAACATAACTTGCTCATTCTAGTCCACTTCAACTAACAGCCACTAGCTACAACTAAGGCAAAACAGCAAAAATACAGCTAGAAAATCATAATTGAGAGAATCATCCAAGTTAAAAACTTTTTCTTTTTGGTTTCCATTTCATTAAAAAAAGAAAAAAGAAATATGAGATGGGAAGAGGACAATCACATTCTAAATTAATCTAAATTAGTACTTAAAGGAAAACAAAAAGGAAGTGCTACTAGTTTGTTAGCTTCATGAGCAATTTGGTTCTATGATAAATATTTAAATGCTGGTAGCAATATTTATATCATAATATGGCAAAGGACAAAAGGCAGCAGTTGGGAGTTGAATGTACCAAATGTTTGGAACATCATGGATATTAAGGGAAGAAGATCAAAAACGGAAAAAATGAAAAGCGACTTCCAATTTGACATGCAAAATCACAAAAAACCTCAAAAAAGTTGAACTTACAGGAATGTGGCAAATTAAACTGCGAAAGCCTCTGTTTTGTGTTCACCAGTAATGGCTGCAACATAATTGAATTATTGATTTGGAGAGACTTAGGAGTTAGGACCTTGAAGATTGCCGGCGTCTGTTCCGATGTGCTGAGGAAGAAGAATTGGAGAAAACCTACGAAGATTTCGTGTGGGCGTTTTCTCTGGCATCTTATTTTTCCCCGAGTTGATTTATTTCTGTATTTTTATTTAGGCTAAAACGATTAGTATGGGACGGTTTCTCGAAACATACTAACCAAAAATAAAGGCTGCAATTTTGAATAAACTTTTAATTTCGCGCTAAAATATTTGTGAGGCTTATTACGAAGTCAATATCAGTTCCTCGTTAATTTCGTTGTTATTAGTCCGATCCTTTTAGCAAGAGATTATATTATTCCTTCGCTTACATATTGTATGGTGGGGGAAAATAGTTTATATGATGTTTCATGATATCATTTTGACAACTAGTCATATCAAGGTTGACCAACTTTAAAAAAATCATGATTTTCTATGCGAAATATGTGAGACGGGTCAAATTAATTTGCAACAATAACATGAAAATTCACCTAAAATCAGTGTGTGAAATTTTACATCATCAGATTTCCTTTACATATCGTAAAATAAGAAATCAGCTAACTATGAAGATTTGCCATGGATGAGAAGCTGTAAATCTAGGTTAGAGAGAAGAAATGTAGTTCGATATTTCAGAGGAAGAAGAAGATGTATTGATTGAACTGTTTTCAGTATCTGTACATGCAAATATATAAAATCAACTCTAATCTTTAACTAGAGTTAAAATCAAAGCTAACTTGAGTTACACTAACTCTATTCTAAGGTAAGTTAGTTACAACTAATCTAACTAACTAATGAAGCTTAACCACCACAATCATTACTAATCTCAACACTCCCCCTCAAGCTGATGGGTATGAACAAATTTTTAACCCCCAGCTTGCTAAGCAAAGAATAGTGTTGGACCTTCCCTTGACCTTTAGTAAGTATATCTGTCAATTGCAACTTGGTGTTAATGTGATGAGTCTGGATAAGGCCCTGTTGCAGCTTTTCTTGCACAAAATGACAATCAATGTCAATGTGTTTTGTCCGCTCATGAAAAATGGGATTTGCAGCTATCTGAATGGCTGCTTTACTGTCACTATGCAAGGGAATAAGCAACTGAATCTGGATTCCCAACTCTTTGAACAGTCCTACTAACCATGACACTTCTGCCACTGTGGAGGCCATACTTTTGAACTCTGCTTCTGCTGAACTTCTGGAGACTGTGTTTTGTTTCTTGGACTTCCATGATATCAAAGAATTGCCAAATTTGACTAGATACCTTGTGACTGATTTCCTGGACTGAGGACAAGAAGCCCAGTCTGAGTCACAAAATGCAACCAAGCTTTCAGACTGCTGTGAAGGCATCAATAAGCCTAATCCTAGTGCATTTTTGATGTTTTACACTTCAATACCACACAAGATGAGGATTTATTTGTGTGGTGACCAATTTTTCGCTTAAACTGATTATGGAAGGACCTGGTTCTTCTATGTGTTCATTCTACTACTGTTACAAAATAATAAATGTAAAAAATAAAGAACACAAGTATTTTTACGTGGAAAACACCCGGCTCAAAAGGTGAAAAAAAACCACGACCTACTACTCAGTAGGATTTTCCTCAACACTTCACTAAATCACTAAGCCAAAACAGCATTTACAAAACTCTTTGTAAACCTAAAGATTACCTCTAATCCTGTTGTAGCACACAGCCTCCAACTGTTGCGACAACTTCAAGTTAACTCTAACTTGAATACTCTGAGTACCTATTACAATTGCCTCTAGATAAAGCTGAAAGGTACAGTACAAAATACCTACTACAATTTGAACTAGAAATAAAGAAAGACACATAAAACTCTTTATGGAGCTGGTTCTCCAATCTGGTTCATGTAGCTTCAGGTTTGCACACTTGAATCACACACGAACTGCTTGCAAAAAGCCTTGCTATTTTGCTCTCAATTCACGTTTAACTTCTGCGTTTTTGTGCAACACATGTAATGTGAGAACATCCTGCAATTTATAGAGTTAGTAAATGAAGAAATAATTAGAGTTCTGATGCAACTCTTCCTTGGTGGAAGAGTTCTAGTTGATCTCAACTTCTAACTCCTTCCCTATCTTGGATAATGTTCTCTTTGAGTAAGGAGTCCTTCTCCTTATCAATTATGCAACCTTTTCGATCAGGAGATATTAAATACACCAAGTTAAGCTTATCTCCTTCACGTGTATCCCACATGCTCGAATCTGCCCGTTTTTGTGCACCTGAGGTATAGACCTGAGGGATGGACCTGGTTCATGCCTGAGCTTCCTTTGTCAATCTTCAAAACTAACCTTCACTTGGGCCAACAAATTTCCCCTTTTTTATGATGACAAACTCTGTGCTTTTTATAAGCTTAGGCCCTGTTTCAACTTAGCTCAACATCAACACAATGTTAGAAACATTTTTCCTTTTTATCACTTATCATCAAGGACCAGGTACATTAGGTTATAAATATCACTGTTCAAAGTGTAAAGCACAACCTTTTTTTCCCTTTTAGCATCATCGAAAAGTTGCATAAAATGTGAGATAACCAGATTTTAATACTTACTCATAGCCACTGGGGCTACTTCAAATGCAATCATGAATTAATCATCATAGATCAAGCTAAGAATTTTAACCATCAAAGAAATATAAACAAACAGTTAGAGCAAAAGATAGTGAATTTCATTGATGATTGATAAGATTCTACCACAGAGCATAAGAAGAAATAAAAATATTGGAAACATGAGCAAAAACAAAAAATCCCGAACTGGGTCACTAGTTGATCTACACTAGGCTAGAAGGCTTAAGGCTGGGAAGAACTAGGTGCTTGGTTTTTGGCTTGGAGGAGTTTCAGCATATCTTGAAGAATGCCATCATTCTTCTCTTTTTCTCTCGCCAGCTCAGTTCTGAGAGCATCTCTCTCGGTCTCCACCTCAACCAACCTCTTCTTCAGCCTTTGAATCTCAGCATCCTTAGCCCCACTTTCTTGCACCAAGGCTCTGACCTTGCTATTCACTGGTACCTGTTGGATGAACCAGGTTCTTTAAGAGTGGCATTGACTTCATAATCGCAAGCAAACAGAGTATTAACCCAAAAATGATCCTTGCTTGTACTAACCACCCACTTCTTCATAGGTACCTTGAAATGTGCAAGTACAATTGTGAGAATAAAGACATAGGGAATGGTATGAGTCTTGAAGCCATTTATAACCCTATCAGTAGGTCCGCGAGGGTTCCCTGTTCAGATGGAACAGGTTCATCTATATTTTTCTCCAAATTGAATCAACCCCTCAGCAGCTTCGCCAGACCCACTTCCCCCTATTTTGCTCACGCTCTCTTCTATTTCAGTAAATTCCTCTCCCCATACAACCATTGCACCAGTTTTTTTTGTTAGACCAACAGGAGTGGGTGAAGAACCAACCACTCTTTTACCCTTTCCCGTCACATCACTCCTAGCACCCTTGCTCTCTTTTTCTTTTCCCTTTTTATTTTTACCACCAACTTCTCCAGATTATGTAGTCTCAACACCTTCTATAGATCCTACCAGTACAAATCTTGTCACGACCCCAACCCCCGGTCGTGATGGCGCCCAACACATTGCTAGGCAAGCCCGACCAATTATCAATCACAACCCCTCTCGTATAGAGTTCATTACCAATTAACAGGGTTTAAATGCCAATTAACATAAATAGGAGTCTGAAGCAGTAAATAAGGTGTGCGGAAAACATAACAATATCTCTACAATAGCCCCTACCGTCCGGTGTCACAAGACAAGAGCCTCTATCACAAGATTTCAACAGCCTAATACAGAGATAGTCTAGAATACTGAAAAGTAAAGATAGAGGAAGAAATCGGGTCTGTGGACGCCATGCAGCTACCTCGATGACTCTGGTGGATGATAATCAGCAAGAAAACTCCCACTATGCCTCGGGAACACCTGAATCTGCACGCAAGGTGCAGGGAGTAATGTGAGTACTCCGACCCAGTGAGTATTAAGCATAAATAATGACTGAGAATAAGAAATCCTGAAGAAGCACAAAGTAATCTATAATGCGGCAGTTTAAAACAGGTAATATGAAATCAATAAACCAGTGAAGTAGAAACATGGAAATGCTACAACAGATAAGCAAATAACTGATAGCCACTTAAAGGAATACAACACATAGTACGATACTCTCTAGTACCCGCTACGACGTGCAGCCCGATCCATTTATTTATCATCGACGACGCTCACTGGGGGTGTGCAGACTCCGGGAGGGGCCCCTTACGGCCCAAGCGCAATAACAAGCCATCTCGTGGCATCAACTAGGCCCTCGGCCTCATATCAATATCAATATAA